TGACTGTTTGTTCGGCAAAAACTTTACAACTTTCTTATTTTTGTTTGTTATTTAGCTGTTCCGTTGGCAGATCCGGTCATGCCTGTCTCCGCCAAATATTTTCTGACCGCACCTTAGTACAATCCCTCTTCGATGGCCTCACAATCACAGTCGCCGACGAAAACTTCAACGTTTCTGTTCTGCTATCCTTATTTGTCAATTGCGAAGAAGCATGCGCCCAGCGTCCCGCTGTGAGGACCAAAACGCAGGTAAGACTTCACTCGGTAGAGTTTATCGGTAGAATCCTACGTAGGATCCCAGATCAGCAGGCGAAAGCCCCATCCCTCTGTAATACAGGACCGACTGAAATAAGCAGTATTCCTTCTGAGCAATGCAAACAAGGCGAAATATTAAAAAAAGTTTATAAAAGTATAAAAAACTGGAAATTAAATAATCTAATGTTTGTTAACAAGAAGAGCGCCATAATTAAAATGTGCAATTCTGTACATATTGGGAAATAACTGAATTAAAAAATAATTTCAACTAAAATCAACTAAATAAAAACGTAAATTTAAGTAAGCAAAACTGACCCAACTTAAAATATAATCTAAATCTAATATCAAAATTGTAAACATAATAATGAACTTAAATCTAAATAAGTTAATTAAACCAAACAAAAACAAACTAGCGTAAAGTTGTTGCACATGTAAATTGAAGACGTGCGCGGCACTTTGCGCCGCGAACTATACTAATCTAACTCCAGAACGGTAAGTTGGACCTCATTGAGGTTGAAGTAGGCGACCTCCTAACCACTATTGCTTTTCAGGAATATCACGAAACCCAATAAACTACAAAGTATGAGTAAGTAAAAAGTGTCTAAATTTGTCACACCCAATAAACTCTAAGTAAGAATTATAAGCAAATTTCTGTGTTTATTTATGGCGCGCTATTTTGTTGTGAAAACAAAAAAATTATTTAATCAATTTTTGGGACCAGTTTGTTTTTTGTCCCCAACTACATTTTTACTTCCTAAATCTACATATGTTGGACTCTTATAGGCTGCATTCAAATTTACCCCCAGGCCCCCGCCAAAAGCGGCCTTGGAGGCGCTGTCAGATACCTCGCTGGAGGACTTGCGACGCGAACTCTTCCGTCAATCAAGCTTCGACATCTCTTACCTGGTCAAGTGGTTGTTCGCCCACGAGCTGGTCTTGGACGATTTTTTTGTCCACCTAAAACCACTTCTCGTAAATGAGGTGTGTATGCTCTCTTGATTTTTTTAATGCACAATTAACCTCTGATTTGCGATAAAGGGATTGTTTCACTGAGTACTGATGGTCTTCCGACATCCGCCTCGTAATGAAAAAAGGTACTTCGTCCATCGTATTCGATGAGAGAAGGAGAAGAATGCGCTCTATTTTGAAGGTGAACATCTAAATTTTTAGCAAATAATGACTCCATTCATTGCGTTCATAAAATACTCAAAGATCTAGAGGTTGACATGAAATCCACATACATTATGGAGAAAGGTCTAATTTCAACTTCCGGATTTCCGTTTCCTTACACTTGAGGTGACGTGCTAGGAATGGAAATACAGTAGTCGCCGGCTATTAAGCCCAC